AAGTGTTTAATTTCAGAAAGGCTGTCTAGTTTATAAAAGCTCATTTAATTGCAAGCACCAAATCATCCTTCTTTGAATAAAAGAAAAAACCTTATCTGGAATTGATAAGGTGTTTTTTTAATCATTTCTGATTTGAAAGAAGAAAACTATCTGGTCAGGCACACTTTCTTTTATTTTAAAATTACTTCACTATGTAAACTATCTTATTTTAAATTTACTTCAGCTATGTAATAATGTTCAGAAAAGCAGGCACTCATTAAAATAAATTGCACAGGGCTTAAGGTAGGACTATAGTCAGCAGTAAAGCACTTGCCTAGTAAGTGTGAGGCCCTGGGTTTAATCCTCACCAACACACATACTGCACATGCATACACACACACAAATAGGATAATAGAGGTGGGGCATAGTGACACGTGTAATCCCAATGCTCAGGAGGCTGAAGTGGAAGGATCATGAGTTCGAAGTCAGTCTGGACAGTAAAGAATGTAAGATCCTGTCTTTTAAGAAAAAAAAAACGCTCACTGCACACTAGGTATGGTGTACATTCATTTAACTTGAAGATTTTTCAACAGAATAAACCTTGGAGCTATAACTACAAGTGATGGTAGGATTACTGTTGGCTGAGTTTTTCCATTTTAGCAGAATGTGCTACTTTATAAAAGAAAAATTAAATGTTTAAAAGTATGTGTCAGATATGACACTTTTGTGTGTTTCTTGTTCCCAGGGAAGGAAAATATAATCATGCTGCCTGCTTTGGTCTCCAGCCAGGCTGCCTTCTCCCAGATGGGACCCGGATGATGTCTGTGGCTGCTCTCGTGGTGAACTTTTCACAGCCAGTGGCAGGTCGCCCCTCTCTCCTCAGGCACGACGAAGTCAGGACTTACTTCCATGAATTCGGTCATGTCATGCATCAAATCTGTGCACAGGTAAGTGAGTCCTTTATGATAAACCTACCAGTTACTATTTTTGTGTGTGCTGCTATCAAGTTTCTCTCTTTAATGTGTTTCTTCAGAACCTGAACATTAAAGAATTCTTCAAGAATTTTGGAGGCCCACAGAAACACAGTTTTGTTTTGTATTTTAATCAAGCCCTCATCCACACCCTATTTTCTTTCTTTCTTTCTTTTTTTTTTTTTTTTTTTTTTTTTTTTTTTTTTTTTTTTATCTCACTATGTAGTTGAGACTGACCTGGAACTCGCTATGTAACCCAGGCTGGTCTTGAACTCACAGCAGTCCTCCTGCCTCAGCTTCCCCGAGTGCTGGGATTACGGGCATGCGCCACCACACCAGGCTTCACACCCTATTTTCACTCAGTAGTTAATACACCAATGAATATACCATGCTTGTGGCAAAAGAAGACTATCATTAAGAGAAGGTAACAGATACTATGCTCTTTCCTTTTAATTCCTTCCTTATAGGAATTTGATGTAAGATTCACAGATAAAATGTGCTGTAATCTGACTTCTATTATTAATGCTTTTTTGAGGAGTTCAGTGTTTTTCAATCTTCTCAGACCCTTTACTCCTTTTCTAATAATAAATATTTTTAGCACCTCCTTTTCTTTTTTTTTTTTTTTTTTTTTTTTTTTTGTGTGTGTGTGTGTGTGTGTGTGTACTGGGGATCAAACTCCGGACCTTGTGCTTTCAAGGCAGGTGGCAGAACCACTGAGCTAAATTTCCAGCCCTTAGCACCTCCTTTTCTTAACCTCAAATTAAAATCACATAATATAACCATGCAGAGAATTGCCCAGGGATTAAAATTGATTTCTTTAAACAATCCTAAAATTCACATGGAACTAGAAGAAACCTAGAAAGACAGAACCAATTCTGGGCAACAAGGACAAAACAGGGAACATCATAATCCCTGATTTGAAATTATACTACACAGTTATCACATAAAAGTAGAATGATACTGAAAGAAATAGATACAAAGATCAGTGGAACCGAATAGGAGATGCAGAATCAACTCCAAGCATACATACTCAGCTACCTTATATTTGACAAAGCCAAACATCTTCAGTGGAAGAAAGATAGTCTCTTTAATAAATGATGCTTTGAAAACTGGCTTTCCATATGCTGAAGACCTATATCTCTCACCATGCATTAAACTAAAATCAAAATGGATCAAAAATCTAAATATAAAAACAAACACTTAGGGCCAGGGATTTAGCTCAGTGCGTCCACTGCCTGCCTCAGAATCACAGGGTCCCAAGTTCAATCCCTGGTACCAAAATAAATAAATAAATAAATAAATAAATAAATAAATAAATAAATAAATAAATAAAAAAATAATCTTATAAAAATAGGTAAACTCTTGAAGATATAGGTGTAGGCAAAGACTTTATGAGCAAACCTGATCACATAGTAAATACTACAAAGAATCAACAGTTAGGATCGTGTCAAATTAAAAACCTTTTCAACAGTGCAGGAAACCACCAACAGAGTGAAGAGACAACCCACAGAATGGGAAAAAATTTTACCAGCTACTCTTCAGATAGAGGACTACCATCTATAATATACAAAGAACTCAAAAATATTAGACTCCCCAGATTTAAAGACCCAATCCAAAAATGGGCATCAGAAATGAATAGGCACTTCTCAAGTACTGGGGCCAGGGATGTAGCTCATTGATGCACAAGTTTGATCCCCAGTACACAGAAGGAGCGGGGGATAGCAAATAAACATATGAAAAAATGTTACACATCACTGGTCATTTGAGAAATGCAAATTAAAACAACACAGATTCCATCTCACTCCAGAAAGCGTGGCTGTCATTAAGAAGTCAACCAGTAACAAATGCTGGCAAGGCTTTGTGGAAAAGGAACCCTTCTCCATTATTGGTGAGAGTGTAAACTGATTATAACCACTATGGAAATCAGTATGGAGAGTCCTGAAAAAACTAAAACTAGAGTTCCATTTGACCCAGCTATTTCCTTTCTAGGTATCTTATTAGAGCTAAAGGCATCATACCCATGTTTATAGCAGCACAACTGATAATGGCTAAATTTTGGAAACAGCCCATATGCCCATCAACGGATGAATGGATAAAGAAAATGTATTTAGAGCCTGGCATGGTGTCACACACCTGTAATCCCAGCACTCAGAGGCTGAGGCAAGAGGATCGATCACGAGACCAGCCTGGGCTACATAGTGAGTTCCAGGTCAGTCTCAACTACATGATGAGACCCTGTCTCAAAAAAAAAAACAAAAAAGGGGGGGCATATTTAGATTATGGTGGAGTACTGTTTTGCCATAAAAAAGGATAATTTCGAATCATTTGTAGGAACATAGGTACATCTCAAAACCATAATGTTAAGTGAAATAAATCAGGGACACAAGTTCAAATATCTCACTGTTTCTGTTGTATGAGAAACCCAAAAGGTGAATAAGGAGAAAAATGAAAGTAGGAAGAACATGTTCAAATAGGAAGGGAAATAAGGGGGGAAGGGAAGGAAAGCAAAGGGAATTTTAAAAGAAAAGGAAGGGAAAAAAATGAAAACTTCATTTATTTCAGGGTCTTGGGTTCTGTCCTCAGAACCAAAAGAAAGAAAAAACATGCATTTTATCTCAATTTACAGTCCATTTCACTAGGCCCAAACTATTTTTGTTTGAACCTTATGAACTTGTTTATATTTAACTGTTATTAACATTTTAAAATCTCTGGTAGTTCAGCCTAAAAGTTAAATATATTGACAGTAACAGAAATGGGATAGTTGTCTAAATTTGAAATCTTTACGCATCCCTAAAAGATAAACACTTTATATAATCTTACTAGAATAGTTTTAGATTATAAAACTGTACAAAAATTGCCCGTGCAATTCTGTTTGCTCTACTTTTTTTAATGTGATTTTTTTTCAGCTTTAATTGAGCTTATTGGTACATTTTAGGGATACAGTACAGTTACATTCATCATTGGGATCTTGTACCTTTACATGACAGGTCTTGGTTCTCATTTTTCCCCCTTGTCCCTGCCCTCCCTTCACCCCCTTAATGTGATTGATTGATTGATTGATTTTTTTTTCAGACAAGATCTTGCTGTGTGTTTCAGTCAGACCATGAACTCACCATGTAAACTAGGTTGGCTTCAAACTTGTGATACACCGCCACGCCTCGCTGCTTTAGTTTTAATATCTTTCATGACTGTAGTACATGTGTCACAACTAAGCCAGCATTAGTACAGTAGTCCTAACTAAAAACATGTTACTGGAATTTTATTACTTTTCTCTAATAGTCTTTCCCCATAGCAAATTGAATCTTTTAAAATCAGTGGTGTCCTCACTGAATGTAAAAGAAATCATCTTTTCCTTTTTCAAGTGGCAATACTTAGGGCCAGCGATTTAGCTCAGTGGCACTGTGCCTGCCTCACAAGCGCAAAGTCCTGAGTTCAATCCCCGGTTCCAAAAAAAGTAAAATAGTAATACTTACATATGGCTAGACGTGAAGCAGTAAGACAAACAAAGTATTGCTGGGGAGGAGAAGATGTTGCACAAAATGTGAATAACTGACAGAGCACCACACATTGCACACAGTTAAAGTGGTGTGTTGTCAGCTCCATTCCACAAACAGTACTGCTCATGGTGACGTGAGTTTCTGAATGACGAACACCACCCATGGAAACTCTCAGGAAGAAAAGTAATCTTAACTTCAATTTACGGAGTAGCTACTAATACTACTTGGAAATTCAAGTTGTATAAAAATGCTTTGCAAAAATATGTGCAGTAGGGTTAGTTTCTAGACTCACTGGGTTTTAGTTTTTTCATCTTTAAAAATGACTACTAGGATACTAGCATGACAAGGGAAGCATGAAAGAATTTTTGTTGTTTTTTCCTGGCTTTTGTGGGATCATTTCTGAGCATTTAGCATCCCTAACCCCCAGAGTAGCCCCTCATCACTCTAATAATAAAAAATGTACTCATTCATTTTTAAACTCCTCTCACCTCTTGTGTTAGTCAGATTTTACTGACCTGCACCACTTGGAAAAGGAGTGGTTCATTTGACTCACGCTTGCAGAAGACTCAGTCCGTGGCTGGCCGGCTCCAGGGCAGGAAGGTCATGGCAGAAGAGCACAGCAGAGCAAAGCTGCTTAGTTCAGGGCAGCAGGGAAACAAAGTAGGGGAACAGCATTAGAGACAAAGGGGCAAGGGACCAGGTATAGACCCCACATTCACACTTTGCTGACTACCCAGACACACTCAGGCATGTGCTTTTCTGATCCTGTGTGTGGCTCCTAAGCCAGTCAGCCTGACAGTGAAGCATAACCATCATACTCTGCTTAAAAACTAATTCTATTTTATCTTTTAATCCTGGCATTTCAGTCTTTTCTGTTTTAGTACTAGGGTTTGAATCCAGGCCTGAGCATGCTAGGCAAGCATTGCACCACTGGGACATATCAGCAACTCTTTATTATTATTTTTTTCTAATACCAGGAATAGAACTCAGGACCTTGCTCTTGCCAGGCAGGCACAGCGCCACTGAGCTACATCCCTAGCCCAACAACTCTGTGTTTTAAGACTTGCTAAAAGCCTTGCTAGGTTGTTCGTGCTGGCCTCAAATTTGTGATTTTCCTTCCTCACCCTCCCAAGTTGCTGAAATTAGAGGGATGTTCCATCATGCCTCGCTTCTTACATTGCGCAGATTCATTGTACTACTTCAGTACTAGAAAATATTTTTTGGTACTGACATTTTCAAACTAGTTCATAACTAAAGGAACACACACACACACACAGCATTCACATTAGATGTCTCTCTCGAAACAGTGAACAATTAAAGTTTTGCTGAACTGTATTCCTGAGCACAGAATGTGTCATACTGATAAGTATTGTTGGTACAATCCTTTGCTTGGACATCTCTTCATGAAATTATCTTTTAAAAATCTTTTTGTCTATTTTTTCTATCAGATGCCATGTAATCTTTTAAGAGCTTTTTTAGATAGTGGTATTTAGAACAAGTGATCACTACTTTTGTCTTGTAGGCGCAGGCACAGACACATCCATATATGTGCAGGTTTACAATAAGTCAGTCCAAAACCTTTTGTACTGATGTAAAATGGGTGGTAGTAAAGAGATGTTCAACTGCTATGTTCTGACTTATCTGAGAAATATATAGTGAATAAAAGTTGCCATATGTATTCAGTAGATTGGTTTTACGATATGGCAGCTTATCCTTTGAGCTCCCTTTTAGTATTCTGCAGTTCTGATGACTGGAAAAGCTCGTTTAAGCTTGCTATGCCAATATTTAAATGTATCAGCAGGAACTTCCAGTTTTCAAACGTGTGGACATACTAGTACTAGTTCAATATGTCTCCTGTCTTGGCATTCAGAAGTTTGTTTACACTACATGTAGGCAGTTTTGAAGATAGCAATCAAGAGGAGATATCACTAGTATCTGTTCCTATTTCATGTCTTGATTGTAGTTTGGGCTCTCAGTTGTCACTGCCCTTTTAAACTTCTGCAAAATAGAAGAGCAGTGCCTCTTACCAGCCTCATGGTGGCTTCTTAGGTTGTATAATGAGAGCATTAGTAATGAATTTTTAGCTATAAAAAGATAATTATTTTAAGGAAATATCAGAATCACAATAAAGCTTTTTAAATTAAGAGTGAAGGGGATGGATGGTCAAAAACTTCAAATTGTACAATACGAAATTGCTGTTTAGCTGCCTGTGGTGGTGCATGCCTGTAATCCCAGCACTCAGGACGCTGAAGCGAGGGGATCACTGTGAGTTTGAGGCCAGCCTGGAATACATAGCAAGACCCTGCCTCAAAAAAAGCAAAAGAAAAGAAAAAGAAATAGCTGTTCATTTGCTCAAAAATGTACTAGAGCATCTTGTGTGCTCTAAATATTTACATTGCACATATTCTGTGCCCAGTGTTAGTCAGAGAGGCACCCTGTTGCTATGGCAAGAATACTGAATTAAAGATCATCCCTGGATTAAAACTCATTTGTGGACCTGGCTGTGGGGCTTTTGGCTAGTTATCTGATGTCCGTGAACTCTCATTTTTTAATTCACAAAATTGGAACAGCAGCAGTTCTCACCTACTTCCCTGGAATGTTGGAGAAATTAAATAAGTATGTGCAAAGGCACTTTGAAAAGCATGAGGTACCATACATATCTGAAGTATTCTTATAATCATGCTTATGTATAATTCAGGCCTTGAAAGGAGGGAGGACAAAAACCATGAAACAATTTTCTGTCACTTCAGGGTCAAGAGAACTCACAAATGCTTACCTTCAATGGGTTTTGACTAGGCTTTATGGAAGATGATTTTAAACAATAAGTAGTGTATTTTTTTTGTTATGTTGTAATGATAGTGTAAAAGTTCGAGGCCTGAAGCAAGAACAAAATGAGCAGTTTAAGAATATTGTTGGTGGCTTTGTTGTACAGAAATGTGGCTATATTTATCTTCAGCATTAATGCTAAGAAATAAACACTTGGAGGAAGCTGAGGACAAGTGTGATCAGAACAGCAAAGGCCAAATGTGGACAGGCAGAATGGGCAGGCCAAGAAGAATGGAGGCCAAGAGCCATGGTGGTGCAAGCCTGTAATCGCAGCACTGAGGAGGCTAAGGCAGGAGGATCGCTGCAATTCTGAGGCCAGCCTGGGTACAATAGTGGGTATAGGGCCAGCCTGAATGACAAAGCAAGACCCTGCCTCAAAAAATACAAACAATGGAGGCCAAGATTTACTGAGCACATACTATATACGGAGCTTTGCATTCCTTCATTCATTTTATCATCACTGTATCCTTTGAGGTAGTTGTGTATCATTATTTTCCCTGTTGTGCAAGTGAATACAACTTGAGAAGGCCTTGCTGCAGATCTTCCAGTCATGCCTGAGTAGCTGTTGCTACCTTTGCTCTCATCTTTGCAGTAGAGGTGGCCTGTCTCATGCAGCCTGAAGTTGATCTCCTCATGCGTATTCCTATTGGGCAGACTGTTCTCCTAAGATAATGAATGTTATACCAGTGATATACTGGAAAGAGGAAGTTTATTCAGTTCCACACCTCCCTGTGCATAAGCTGACTGTTGATGTTTCTGTCCAGGAGAACCATGAGCTGTTAACCAATAGTCTTCTGCCTCTGCTGTTCTGTCCCCCAGGCCCAGTTCTGGCATACGTTTAGAGTTGGACATGATATCCTTCATTCTTCTTTTTAAATTTTTATTTGTTTTTACAGACACTAGCACATACATATGCGTACTTAGGATAAATGTTAACTAAGGTCATAAATCAAAATGTGAATCTTTATCATGTTTGTTTCTGTTTGGGAATACGCTTGTTTTATTTGCTGCATTTTCTACATGTATTTAACAATACTCAGTTTTATGTAGGAGGTATATTAGCATTAATAGCTGTCATGGCCCATAAACTACTGTTTTGCACATTTGTCAAATTGATTGTATTAAAAAACTACATAAAGTACCTTTGAAGGTTCTTTGGATTATAATTGAAATATACTGGGCAGTATTATGACCAATCATGAGTAATAACTGAGCAGCCATGATGTTTTGTACATGAAGTCCTGTTACCCTGCTAGATCATACTACATCTTGCCTGTGGTTTGTGTGGACATACACAGTGGCTAACTGTGGTCCTTTGTCTTGCAGGATTAGCTGTTTGTGGGAAATTGCACTTTTGAATTTTGTAGATTCTTTGTCCTCTTCATTTGAAAAATATTTAAATAATGTTGCCCAAAGGGCTCACAGAGAAAACAGCTGACTGACTTTTGGGAAATTAGTGAGCAGTAAAACTATTTTTAGCTTTTACTCCTTGCAAGTACTTCCTTTGTTCTTTAGAATACATTGTTGATCTGTTAGCTGTGTTGCCTCCACCCCCCACCCCCACCCATGTGGTTTTTAGGTAGAATAAGCCCTCTTTTCTCTACTCTGCGTGACATAATTATCTTGATTCTTTATTTTAATTCTAACTCATGAGTTACAGTATTTATTTGTTCATTTTTTATACTGAATAGCTCCCCCAAACATGCACGCACGCACACACACACACACACACACACTTACACACTCATTCACACTTTGTGTTATTTGGGGTTGATTTTCTCCCTTATCTAAAAATACTGACTAAAAATAAGATAAAAATACTGACTGAAACTGATTTGTAGATTATACTTGCATCTGTGACTTTGCCACTAGCACCTGTACAGTAGAGATTTGGGTTCAGGTGAAGCCTCTCTGACTTCTGGAGCAGGAACCCTCAGTCAGGTGTTAATCCCAGCTGACCTGTTCTGAAGTTTCCACCATGCCTCTCATCTCATCTTTCTCACACACACACACACATACTTACACACTCATTCACACTTTGTGTTATTTGGGGTTGATTTTCTCCCTTATCTAAAAATACTGACTAAAAATAAGATAAAAATACTGACTGAAACTGATTTGTAGATTATACTTGCATCTGTGACTTTGCCACTAGCACCTGTACAGTAGAGATTTGGGTTCAGGTGAAGCCTCTCTGACTTCTGGAGCAGGAACCCTCAGTCAGGTGTTAATCCCAGCTGACCTGTTCTGAAGTTTCCACCATGCCTCTCATCTCATCTTTCTCAGTGAAGAGAAGTGCACTGATGATTAGGTCACTCCTACCTACTCAGCTTCAGGATTTGATGTTGTTTTTATACACACTATTTCAAGATAGAAAAGCTGGTTTTAATGCCACAGGTTCTTTATTTTGGAGGTTGTTTTTTTGTTTTAGACAGGGTCTTGCCATGTAGTTCAGTCTGGCCTTGAAATCACTATGTATGCTAGACTGGCCTCAAACTCACAGGAATCCTGCCTCTGCCTCCCAAGTGCTGGGATTATAGGTGCCAGGTTCTTTTTTTAAATGTTTTGTTCATATGCTTGTTTTATAATTAAAATATACATTCAATTAAAAATACTAAATGACAAATATACAAGCAAGATATATAAAATTTACATTTTTGTGTTAGCAGATCACATGATTTTGCCTCTCTGCTGTTAGTAACTTTAAAAACCACAGTTATAAAATTATGCAATTAACATTACAGAATCAAAAATTGATGATAGTTGGTTACAAGGGTTGGCTTTTACACCTCAGGCTTATGTTCAATCTTGGAAAAATCTTCAGCATTTAGAAGA